CAGCATCACAACTTAAAAGCATCAACTCTTCATTCTTCCTTATTCATTGTCCAGCTTTCACAGGCATATGAGATGATTGAAAATACCATGGCTTGGGTTAGACGTGTCTTTTTTTTTTTTTAAGGATTTTACATGTTGGGAGTGGGAGGTGGATGGGCAACTATCTTTTTCATCAGCCAAAAACATTCTTTAGGCCATTTACAAATGAATCCCTCTTCTCACCCTCAGCCCTAGGGGACCAGTGACCTACTTTTTGTCTCTTAAATTTTTCAAAATGTGCCCTTTTTTCTTGCACTTTTCACATAGATGGAATCATTCAAAATGCAGTCTTTTCATCTGTCTTCTTTCATTTGACATAATGCTTTTGAGGTTCATACATGAGAGGGCATGTGTCACTCTTCCTTTTAATTGCTAAGTAGTAGTCCATTCTGTGCCACATTTGTTTACCCATTTGCCTGTTGGAAATTTGGATTGCTCCCACGTTCTGACTACTATGAATACTGCTGCTCTGTGCATTCACATATGTGCCCTTGTTTGGGCAGAGGCTTTAATCTCTCTTAGGTAGATTCCTAGGAGTGTAAGTTTAATTTTTTTAGGAGCTGCCAAATTGTTTCCCAGAGCATCTGTACCATTTTACATTCTCAGCAGCACTATGTGAGGTCCGTTTTCTCCAGGTCCTGACTGATGCTTGGTGGTGTTGACTTTTTGCTTAAGCTCCCCAGTAGTTGTATAGTGGGATCTCATTGTGATTTGGAGTTGCATTTCTCTAATGATTAATGGTGTTGAGCATCTTTTCATGTGTTAACTAACCGTTCCTTTCTTTGTGTTTGGTTAAATATCTATTCACAACTGTTACTTGTTTTTGGCCTACTTTTAAAAAATTGTTCTTTATAGTATATAACTTACAAATATCGTTTCCCAATCTGTGGTTTGTCTTTTTATTTTCTTACAGTGCTTTTTTTTTTTTTAGGATTTGGGTGAAGATTTACAGAGTAAATTCACTTTTCATACAGCAGTTCACATATACTTTGTCTCATGTCATTGACCAAAATTT